CCTTGAACTTGAATGAGTGAAACTGTAGGCTGTATAACAGGTCGCTGCAAAGAGGAGGAGTGTGCAATTGTCTTCAATTAAAATCTTGAAATTAAAATTGAACTTAAAAATTGGAAGGAAAGGATTCCCGGGTGAAACAGTTACAGTTTGACTCTGCAGTACATTTCAGAAGGAACTTCAGTGAACTCTGCAGTAAACTTCACGTGTGCAGGGTGAGACAATTCAAGCGGAATTTCGAGCAGGGGAATTCAGTAGAGTAAATTCAGAAAAACTTCAGGAAGCTTACCCCTGCGATGAGGAGTGGAAAGGTTCTTGCAGTAACGGCGCCCCGCAGGGATCACACAGCTTACCACAGTGGGAAGAAGCTGCGAAGACACACTTGAGTAGGTTGCTCCGTGGAGCGCGATTTCAGGCTGCTTCGCGGTGAGCATTAGCCCTTTAAGATTACTGCAGGTTAGACCTTGACTGAAAAAAAATGCTGGGTCCGAGTAACAGTATTGTTGAACAAGAATGCAAGTGAAACGATTGAAACAATTCTAAAATGGCAGGTACGTTTTCAGCACCACACCACCAGGCTCTTCGTTGGCCACTCCCTGGTGGTGGGTGGAGTGGCCCCCTGCTGCTGTACATTGGTCACAAAAGTCATAGGGTAGGTTAGAAAGAGTTAGGGTAGTGTCCTTGGAAACAGGAGTGGACACACACACACACACACCTTATTGTGTATCAGTATATCAAACAAAGAAGTGCCGAATTTTCAATCCTGAATGGAGGTGCTTGCCTGCCAAATCCCTATCCCCCACAACCCTTCCAAAGGTTCAGACAGACCACCCACAGAACCTATAGGCCTCCATTTTCCCAAGCACTGTAGCTAAATCAGCTTCCATAGGTTGTCTCAGTGTTTTGGGGAGAGCACCCCTTGTCCAACGCTTTACGATTCTAGCAAGGCTTGCCTTAAGTGATATATGAATCTGTCTGAATCGGTTATTGGTTGGGCTTTGGAAAACGAAAGTAGGTCCTCCCGAGGTGCATGTTTCTTCCAAGAGCTTGGAAGCAGAGGGTTGTATCTAAGTACCGTGAGTAAGCAGACTTTCACACATGTGTTCAGAAGCGCATGGTGAGTGAGATTTGCGAAGGGGATGCGTGAATTCAATGCCAAGCCTGGATTGAGACCAGGCCCATCAGTGTCCCCACCCCCTTTTCTGTTCTTGGCAGTGATTCTCGTGTTCAGGGACGCACAGGCATGGAGACACGGGTTTCTCCGGCCGAAAAGAACGGACCCCACAGTAAACACCCATGTAACGGGGCTGTGTGATGGTGGAGGCAAGAGAACGTCCCCATCGCTTGTCCTGTTGACTACCTGCATTAGCACTGTCCCTAGAAGTCCCAGGGCATGCATGAACGCACTGATTCGTTTTTGCCAGCACAGCTAGGACTGACCCCTAATACCTTTTCCGGAGGTACTTGGAGCGTTGGGCTTGTGATTTTACTTCTTTCGGGCACGATGGCGGGGTCACCGTTTTCCCAGGAGGACCAGGTCAAACGCTTGATGCGGCACGTCCTCAAGCGGAGTTTGGAGGCTCAGGACTGGAGCTGAGCGACCGCAAAGACTGAACTGGCAAGGCTGAAGTGCCTCCCAAATGGATCCCAAGGCATCTAGAGTGAGGGGTCATTCCCTCATACCCTACTAAGCACCAGCCGGACAAAGACCACCTACCACTCTTGGTGTTTAGGCATGTGCACGCAGGAATGCCTTGAAGCAGTGTGTTGATCAGATGGAGTTTCTTGAATTGGCACAGCATTGATTTGGGATTCCCATGTTTTCACGGCAGGTGCCCGCCCAATGTCATCGCCACCATAGATCACCCCAACCAACTCCGACCTTCCTTGGAGGGGGCTATATCTATGTTTGTTTCACGGAGTGTGGCTTTTCCGTAGCCTACCAACACCATGCGATGAAAAGGTTTGCCGGCTTACCTGATTTTGTAGTGCTGCAACGTCCAAAACATACACAATGGTTGTTCGGTGAAGGCCATGAAATCGATTTGTGGTTGGACATGTTGGACACCTCGCGGCGTTTCGCACGTTTGCCTCCCTTGGTTTGCTCAGCATCCCGGAACGGACGATCCTCCGGCGGAAGGTGCCGCATGTCTTTCCGGCACCGGAACCGGGGTGGAGGTAGGGCGAGAAGCCAGCGGAGCAAGTGCTAGCTAGCAACCTGCTCTGCGTCTCAAAACCCCAGTCGCAGGGTTGCGGATCTCCTCGGATTTGCGGGTCCTGCGGGTCGTTTTGCTCGTGAGGAGCGGAACAGAACCTTCCAGGCAATCCTGGTAGGAGATCTGAACGAACGCTTGGTACTGAAAGAGGAGAGACTGTCGGGGAGGAGGGGGGAGGAGGGGAAGGTCCTCGAATGACCATCCGGCTCCACCTCCGAGGGGTCAGAGTGCCTTGGGAACATCGGAATTTGGGCCTCCTCCTGCGAGTCGTAGGCTTGGCCGGCCCGGAGAACGCGACGCCGAGGTAGCCGGGTCGAACCAAACAGCTCTGAAAGCGTGAGGCTTCAGAAGTGTCCACGGACGTTTCCTTGGTTCACTGGAAGAAGTCATATCTAGGGCGGGGTTTATAATCAAGAGTCTACATGAATCCAAGCCGCAGTGATCCTTCTATCATGTTTCTTCCGTAGCTGCAGGAACTTCAACCCCGCAAGACCCGGCCATGCACCTGGTGTTCCACCACCAAACTGCCTTGGCGTTTGGGGAGTTCTCCGGTTCACCGGCAGCTCGGTTCTGCCGCTGCCGGCGTTCGGGGGCGCGGACCGCCAGGACGATGGATTCCAGGTGCAGTGGTTCCACAGGGGCCGGACGAAGGTGCGGAATCACCCGCTGAAAACCGCGGAAAACGCGTCCCGATCCTTTTGATGGCTCTACGTTCTGAATCAAAGCCCATCACCTGGCTCGATCTTGAGAGCCCCTCACTCTACACTTTTTCCTGCTGCCTGATATGTGTGGCTCGCGGATACTGCCCTAGCAGAATGACCATGTCCAAGTGGAGTGAGTGAAAGTTATAGTATTGAGGGTCTAGGAGACCACTAACCGGTGCTTCTTGTTCGACCGTCGCCTCGGTTCCACCGGAGCGGGCGGGAAACGACTGCAGAGCCCCACGAGTCAACGACCGCTGCAACGGCCTGCCCATCGCAGTGCATGACCGAATTGATTTCCACAAAGATTGGCCCACCATGGGCCTACCATCTACCTACCTACTACCTACCATCAAACATCTAACGGTGAAGATGTTGGTGTTTGGAGCCGGTGAAGATGTTGGTCTTTGGAGCCGGATGCCAAGCTCCGGTCCGTGCCATTGCTGTAGGTTGGCCAACTGTCGGACAAGAGCCAGGCGAGATCGGGCGAGACCGCGGTGGGCACCAAGTGGACATGGCGCGAGAAGGCAGCAGAGAAGCCTCCCTGTTCCAAGATATCTCCTGGTGACCATGTTTAAAACACCTCCCCGGCCTGCAGCGCGCCAGTACAGTACACAAGTTCTACACTTGAAGCTGTTCATGCCACTTCCCGGCGGCTTCTTGTTGAGCCACAGCAACATTCATGGACGCCAACCAGTTCGTGTAAAAACTGCTTCGCGGGGGATCCTCAACACCATCCCACTTGGATGGGTGACTTCTGAGCGCCCTCCTGGGCCTCGCGACCAGGTGCTTCTGCGTCACATGCTCAGCAGTGGATCCGGACGCCGGAAGCTGCTGCTCTGGCACCGAAGCTTCTTCGACGGCCTCGCGGCCGGGCGGGTGCGGCTGCGCCCAGCCCAGGAGCGCTGCGCGGCCGCAGAGTCGCCGCTCCGTGGTGTGGTCCTGCCTTCGGAAAAGCCTTCACTCAACTCCCGGGCTGCGGCAATTCTTGAAGAATCTTCGAAGAACAATTCGCTTTGGGCTGCGGCATCGGCTGAGGCATCTCCAGCCATTTCTTCCTGCAAACTGACTGGTGGCGGGACCGCTGGATGGAGCCTGCACCGGTCACCTACAAGTACACTCCCTGGGAACAGGCCGCGCCAGCACGGATGCATGTTCACATAGATTAAAACATATCCTCTTGAGATGGGTGTCCTTTTCCTAAGATGTTCTTGATGTGTGTATTCTTAGTGTTCTTAATCAACACTATTCATGCATAGATGGGTGTGCTTTTCCTTGGGATCGGGATCCTATTCTCCCGAATGTGTTTGAGTTGACTAAGCCTGGCCGGGCGTGATTTGCATGGATTCCTTTCATGGACGGCCGGGGCCGGAGGTGTTGGGGTCTTTGGGGAGCTTGGTGTGTGAGCAGGCCCCCAGTGTAAATGTATTGGAAACCCGTTTCTATCGATTTGAGTGGGGAAACCAATCGGAAACCAATCCCGGACACACGACCAGTCGCTCCAGGTTGCTTTCTGGGTGAACTGCATCTTCGGGATTGGTGTGGGGAGTATGGGCATACGCAGGTGACTGGGAGAAGGACGTGTGACTTGCTTCTATTCCCAGCTCAAAAATGCACTGTCATCCGAATCGGGATGAGCAATCAAGGGACCACCGCTCTTGGGCAGCGGAATTGGTTGGTTCCTTCCCATCGCCGCTTCGATGCTCCCCTCGCCCTGCCTACCCTGAAAGAAGCGTAGCAGCCAGCATCTCCCAGCGTCTCCCTGCGCGGTGTCCGATCGCGGACACCGTGCCAGGTGGTCTCCCAGGAAGCGCAGCAGCGCGTGACCGAGAATTTGCGGAACAGTGGCTGGGTGAGATGCGGGTGTGAGACCGGGTGAGACGCCAGGCTGCTCGTTGGGTGGCACATGTCGCGGAGCCTATATTGACATGAGGTGAGGGTGGGATCTAAAGCCGCCAGAAGGAAACTATACAAGAGGCCTAAGGAAACGGGTTGTATCAAATCCCCAAACCCAAAAATCGACCTGCAAAGTTTCAGTTCCAAAGTTTCCATGGTACTGTACCAGATGGCTATGCATCGAAGACGCAGAACGCTGCTAAATCCCAAAGTGTCCCGAAAACCATCGAGCGAGACGAACACATCTGTTCGTATAGTGTAGGTAAGTAAGTCAAAGGAATGACTGCCTCCAATGGTTGTAGTATAGGTAAGCAAGAGAAAAGAGGATGACAAGCATCCGGCGAATAGTGAGCAAGACGAAGGAATCACTCATAGTGTGTAGTGAAAAGGAAAGCGAGACATAGCGAGACCCACAGACAAGTCTGCCGGTTTGGAGACAGAGTCACTCTTTGGAGACAGACATGCGGCTGCGCATCCATGGCCCGTGGATGCTTTCCTTTCTGATTCATTCATTGGACAGAGTAGCAGCAAAGCCAAGAAAATCTGAAAGGCCCTCGCCTGACTCCAGGGTCGCGCACACACACACACACACAGGGGCGCGTGTGCCGGGTGCCAATCATGTATCATGTGAGAGAATTCAGCACCGTTGGTTGACGAGGCATGGTTGAACGGCTATTGGGTTCCACCGCGTTAGGACTTCAGTCCTCCAACGCATTGAGCGCTCCGGCACAAGCCAACACTGCGGCTGGCCTCTTGTGGGAAGGTGCGCAGATCAGGGCTGCCGCCTCAAATCTCTCTGTACCTGGTAGGCCCAAAAGGTCAGGAGAATCCCACCAGCCCCCCGTCTCTCAGCCCACCAGCCCCTCGACTTGCCGAACCAAGGTTCTATGACGCAGCAGTACCTGGGTCTGGGTGGCGGTTTGGAATCATTTTTGGACCCCGAAATTCGGGAAGGATTGTTCAATATTTGATTCGAGTGAGTATAATATCCTCCAAATTGGTGATGTCACCCCCGCGCGAAGAATGTTTGCCAAGGCCAAACCGGGCCACTATCAAAGATGGAGGACCACTAGACCCTTTAATGGAGAAAAGATAGACATTTCTGTGCACTTTTTCTTATTTTTTTTGGCACTACCTTCCAAGAAGAAAGAGCCCATCCCCCCTGAATCCGAACCGCCCTTGGACAGGACTCCGAGCACACTCGCTGCCGCCGAGGTACGTGGTGACCGCCGATGAGATCGTTCATGCCTTGAGGGCCTCGGGTGAGTCGGAGCAGTGCCTGGAGCCCTCAAAGATGATTGGCCACTCGGTGGGAGCGTTTGGTGGACGAAGGGCACTTGGCACGCGTGGGAATGGACAGGAGGGAGCGTTTGGTGGTTGTGGTCTTTGCCGGTTTTCCTTCTTTGGGGCTGAGTGGGTTGTTTGGGCAGCACGAAAGACTTCAAGAGTAGGGTGGCACACCATTCATGTCACCTCCGGCCTTCGAAGGAGCAACTTGCATGCAAGACAGGGGGCACTGCACCACCCCATTGGGGGGGCGCCAGAACCTTTGAAAGAGAGCTGTTTCTTGCCCCTTCTTCGCTTCTGAGTCTCAGCCACCTGAGATGTGTAGCATGCGACTTGTCCAGTTTTGCCCCGGTGTAGCATCCAGCCGCGCCGGAGGCTTGTTTGGCATGACGGAGACCTGGCCTGAGATGCGGAAAACGCAGCCATTCTGCACGGTTTTCACGACAGAAATGGGACGGGTGGACCACTGGAATAAGGGTGAATATGGCATTTTGTAATAGGACAACTCACAGGGGGATGAAAACGCTGCTTCTAGAGGACATGTCAGTGAGTTGGAGATAGTCGGAGTAGGCCCCAGAACGTGCTTGTGGTCCTCCCATATCAGCGGCACTGAATTCGCCGCCTATGATATCTACGGTGGAGCCATTGATTGACCATGTTTGACCAATATATGCTGCAGAATTTCCTTCATCCAGTACTCGTAGCGGCTTTCTAGTTGTGGCAGTGGCTTGCTGCCCCCTGGAACGTCATCTCCATCTTGTGTGATGCTAACTGTGCTTGGTACGAACATGTCAAGAACCATGGACCTCAAGATAGGGTCTTTCTTTGATACTTCAGAACACCCAGGAGAGCTCCATTTAGTCCACATGATTGCACATGTTTGTGTGGCCACCCGCATGGCCTTCGAGTACAGACACGGGTCGTCTGGGCGGGAATCAGCACCGTCGCGAGCCACCCAGGACAAGATTCCGAAGGTGAAGCCGATGCAGGACCGCCCAACACAGACGTCTGTCAGATCATCGGTTGGATTCTTTTTAAATCACAAGAGCTATACAAGAGCTATTGGCTCCCAAGTTCTTCTGCATGGGCAGAGTTGACGATTGAACTGGAATCCTTCCTTACGAAAGTAGCTTAGTTTGAGTCTGACTTCAGGAAGTGGATCAGGCCCAGAGCTATTTGAACTACGACCGCCACGGGCGCCCCGTCTACCTGGCCTTTGGCTGGCTGGATTCCGTGGGTTGCTGGGCTGATGTAAACGCTTGGTGGGGTCGCTGGTGGGGGTTGGTCCCTGGGTGGGGTTGGTCCCTGGTGGACGGCACCACCTGTTTGTAGATCGATCAACCGAGTCTTCGGGAAAAGAGCCATGCCATCCACGGCCAAGCCGAGGACGGCATGAAGGGAGTGCAACTTAGCATGCTCCAACGACCTGTGGCAGTTCAGGCAGTTCCTTTTCAGATGCGGCAGCCTGCGAGGTAGGGTTTGCTCCATGTGATCGTATAGCGCATGGCGGGCCCTTTCAAGGTTGTTAGACACTTACCCCCTTCACATGACCTTGCTCTCGTTTCGGCTCTCGGCTCACACCATGGCGTCGTATCGTGCCCAGCGTCAGCTTCGAACCTTTGCATTTCTTTCACATCGGTCACTCAAAGGCCACTTCAAAAGGACTCTCCCTGCTCCCAGACCTCTTGCATCGTCTTGCCTGCGGTCTTACTACCTGCCTGGCCACCCCCTGAGGCTTCTTGAAGGTGAACCGCTCCTGCCCCAACTTGGAGCCCGCGCGCTTCCTGGACTTCACCACCGATTTCCACCTCCGTGCCGCAGACCACGCGCTCACCTTCGGCCGCCTCGAGCTGGGCGCGCCCTCGCCCCGCGGGCGCGGGCGCGGCGTGTGGGGGCGCTTCGGGCGCTCCGTGGCCGCGGCCGTGACCGGGGCGCTGGTGGTGAGGGCCTTGGCGAGGAGGAGGTGAAAAAAGATCGGGCAGATGCGCAGAGTCGCAACAGCAGGGTTTAGAGGTGAAGGCGACATAAAACTACAGCCCCGCTAGGAAAGTCCAAACCAGAAGTTGAACGGTTCTTGGATTTGGTGGACTCCTTTTCGCTCCCCCGACCCCTCGCACGACGCCGGGTTACACCGCTCCAGAAGAGCTACAAGCGGGACAGTGGGCAGCCGGCACGGTGCAAGTTGGGCGAGTCTTTTGGCGACTTGGTTCCAAGATCGGCCAAATGTTCCTCCTCACCGTGTGGTTGTGTGACCCAACCAATGGCTCAACTGGATGGTTTTGGTCTATTTCCTGACCTTCCAGGAGAATCTCCCCACCTGGGAGGTCTCCCCCATATCAATTGCACACCACCAATGGCTCAACCGTAAACCTGGATGGTCAAGATTGGTCAAGCATCTCCAGGAGGCTTCCTTGATCAACAATCAACATAAGGAAGGATTTTGCTTTGGGAGTGTCTTGATTGTCTTGGGTATTGGATTGTTTTGGGCCTTCCGATGTTTTATTTTTTCTTTTTTCTCTGGAGGCGTGTCAAAAACAGAGTCCGTCCCTACCTTCTCCCCTCCCAGTCGGGAGTTCTAGGCCCCAATGCCTTGGAAGACAACGGCAACCGCGACTTCACGGTGGGGAGTGGGGCGGGCGGTTGGGGGTGAAAAGAGAGGACCCCCCATATCTGACCTGGTGGCCGAAAACAGAGGAGTTCTCCGTCCCCCCTTCAAAAAGAAGAGAAGATTGGTATACATTGGAAACAGATGAGCTGCCCCCCAAAAGAGAGCTCGTTTCGTGACATGCTCACATGCTCATAGGATGGAAGATGAGTATGATGTAAGTAAAATCGTGGGGCATGCAGTGCAATCAGATCTACTCTCCACTTCTGGCATGGGGAGCAGATCAGTCAGTCGACATGGTACCAAATGTTGAGGGTAGACGGCACAATCTCAGATCAGGCGCTTGATACTATACTATACCTACAATACTACTTGCTAGAGACATGGGATTTTGCGGCAGTACCTGAGAATCACAAGTCCTGAGTCACAATGCAAAAGCTGAAGAGGCAAAAAATCCACAAGACCTAGGTCGTCAGCCTTTGGATTAAACGAACACAGACATACAGCCTAGCGGAGCCTATGTGGACTAGTGTCTTCCACAAGTCCTATCTCATTAGACCAGCTGGGGGCATGTCTAGAGCAAAGGAATACCATGACATGGGTTTTAGAAGAAAACGGCCACAAGGCCGCTATGTCACTTCAGGCCCTAAAGTCTACGTAAGTCACTGGCCCCAGTATCATTGAAGGACATCAATACATAAAACGATCCTGGAAGAAGACAGGGTGCCCTTGTATATAGTTAAATCAGCCTCGTACATGACTGCTGACTGCTAGGACCACAGGACGGTCCACATGACTCTGCTTTCCTGCAGCTTGCGCCAGTGACCAGCGCTTCGAACACGGACGCCAGTGGGCTCTGGGAACGCCTCTGGAAACGCCCCGACCGGTGCACTCGGCCAGGTGGTCATGGCCTCCGACGTGCAGCTCCCCTGGGGAAGCTGCACTGATCAGAAGAACAGCGACGAGGGGGTGAAGCTTTGATTGGGAAAGAAGGGCCAGTTGACTTTGGGGGTGAGCTCTCGAACATGGTCAGGCCACGAAAGAGAGCCACCCCCAAAAGAGAGCTGCAGGAACATGGCCAGTTGACTTTTTTGGTCTGGACCAAAGTGACCAAGTCAAGACATGCCGTGGAATGGAACCGTCAGTAGTATGGGCCGTGAGAGAGGCCCTGAATAGGATCATTTGGACAAACAAGTTCCAGTTAGGCCGGCAGTTTTCAGGCCAGCGAGGAGCAGGAACGCATGACCAAGGGGTTGAAGTTGGTTGGTTGGGTTGGGACTGGACTTGCACCCTGGCTCCGTCCCCCCTAGCACACCAAGAGGAGCATCGCTCCATTTTGCGGGTCAGTGACCCGTTGACGAAAACCGCAGAGCAACGCATGCATCGTGAAGAACTTTCTGGCAGAAAGAAAGAAACCCCAAAGGCTTCCCTCCCCAAAACTGGAGCCTCAGATGGTGAGTGATGCTTTTTGGCACATGTTTGCTCGGTTTGGGGTTTGCATATGCGTACCAAAAGCAGAACGAACAGACGATCCGCAACCAAAATGGAAAAGGCATTTCAATCCAATTTTTGTTTTGGGTGCTGATCTTTACTGAAGATACTGAAGCAGGCCGCTAGGGTGGCCTTTGGGCCTGTGAAGGGCGGCCATCCTCACAAGTCTAATTAGTCCTGGCCTGCCCTTCCAGCCGCGTCGTCTCCCCAGAGAAGAGCCTATCATGCTTTTGGACTGCGGAGCCTTTGGATCTTATCTCCTCATCTACCAGGGTCTCCAGGACAAAAGCCTTGTGGTTCCGTATAGCTTTCATGACAATGGACTCGAGCCACGCTTTCCTCGGCACTGCTCCTGTCCGTGCTGATGACCTGTGATCGTTCTCGCCCCGGCTGCCCAGTGGCCAAAAGGCCTCGCAGGAGTGTGGGACCATTTGTGTCAGCTTCGGGTCTTTTTCAACACCTAGCCATGAATAGCGGTCAATCTTGAGAGGCATCATCTCTGTGAGTGCCGCTTTGTCACGTATCCTCTCTTTGGGCCACCTTGACATGTCAGCCGGCCATCATTCCTTGCACGGTTGGGGTGCTGGAGACGAACATGGCCATTGATCAGTTCAATGCCAGTACCAGGTTCTACTTGCATGGAACAGGGAACATATTGGCCATAACTCCTCTCCCTTAGCAACGTGAGCGCTGTCCAGTGTGGCGGGGGTCACTTGTGGAGCTCTTCTTGGTAGCCCGGCATTTGCTCTCGGACAAGCAGCACGTCAACGGGCTCATCTCTGGCATGGTCATGTAAGATGGCCTGTGATAGAAACGATTTCTCATCTAACACATTTCTTTTTAGTTTTTTCCGGCCTGTTGGTGCAAGAGCTCGAGTCATCTCGAGTCTAGATGATCAAATCGTTTGCTTGGCCGACCGCCTCTTGCACCCCTTCCGCCTCTCTGACTCGACAACCGCACGCCCCGCTTTTACCTGTGAAGCCCGTGAACTGCTTGACGAACACATGGAGGTGGCCACGAAGTCACGAAAGGAAAACCACTTTCCGAAAAGCAGGGGGGGCCGGGGGGCCATACCCTTCGCCGGTGAGCCGGAGTGTACCAGGACCGGCTCAATGTGGCTAAGACTAGAAGGGTCTAGGAGGTGTGCCATTCCAGTTTTGGAGGATTTTTTTCTTTCAGACTCCTTTACGGCGAAAACATGGGTTTGCTATTCTGGTGCTTTTCGGGATCCAAGTTCACAAGTTATTGGTTGATCTTTGCGAGAGAACGTTTAGGACGCGAACATGACCGTGCTGAGGGTCCACTCTCACTCACCAACATGCAAGTGTACCATTGATCCCTTCGTTTCGACGATTTTCTCCTCTACCTAAGAGGCTGGCGGCCATCCACTTGGGCTACATGTTCCTCCGGCAGGAACTGCGCGGATCGTGTGTTTCCTAAGGAAGTGCGCCATCAAGGAGAACTACCGCCTGGTGCAGGGCATCCATGAGGTCCAGGAACGACTCGAGTGGAAGGTCGGCCCAAAGGACCGAGCGGAGGTACCAGGAGGTGCCGAGGAGGTGCTGAGAGACCGCCGATTGGAGCATCAAAGATTTACGTTATACTCCTATTATAATCCAAACCTCAAGGATAGAAGAACTTTCCAAATATTCAGATTTTCCATATTCTGTTTGAAATTGCTTTCGGTGCGAGCGAAAAAGAAGCTCAAATAGAAGAAGAGGGTTTCGCCGGAGCGTAAAAGAGGGGTTATATCATGTTATATAGCTACTTTTGTTGCAAAAACAACTAAATAGCCTAATATCTTCTACTAGTGCGGTGAGGTACATTTTCTATTTGAAATGCTTGTTTTGGATCTTCTATTTGATTTCATTTTTGGTCCATGCAGATTGTTTTCTTCCTCGCCGGTCCGTTGTATCTTCACTGCAGATGGCATCTCTGGGAGATTATGCAAGCATTGATAAATAGATGTAATAGACAGATATATAGTAGATAGATAGATATATAGTCGTTCCCGACTGGGAAGGTCTGCTTGGTGCAGGCATGATTCAGAGCAAAGCTCTGAAGATGGAGTCATGGGGTAGGAACAGGCTGCTTTGCAGTCAGTTTCAAAAAGAAGATATTGCCAGACTTTTTTTAACGCCAAAATAATCACAGATACATTTCTTCTAGTTGATGTGCTTGGTTGCTTTGGCAATATCTTCTGTTTGAACATCACTTGTTGTTCCGCTGTCCTTGTTGTTCCGCTGTCCTGTGGATCTGACCTTCAGAAAAAGCTAAAAACTCGAGGTTTTTAACCGTTTTGTACCGGGATTCTGGAAATCTTGGATGGTGCATTAGGTCCTCTGATTTTTGGTTTTAACTTGCACCGTGTGTCCCGGCTAGATTTTGGACAAGATCATCCAACACTTCAAGAATTCACTGTAAATACCATTGTGACCCTGCTTCTCTGGCAAGACCGTTCAAATAGAAGATATTGGAGTTCAGAGTGCCCAAAAAGCATCAAACAAGCATCAACAAAGGACCTCTTGCACCATGTATTTTCTTCTATTTGAAACCTTGCCTGGAAACCACCAAAATTGCACCTTCTGTTTGAAATATTCAAACCATTTCTTCTAAAATCGAATACCGGCCGGATTATATTATTGTTAATTCTTTTATCCCATTTTTTCCCATCAAAAACAGAGGTCAAATGGGCTTCAGGTCTTACATGGTGTCGCTCAGAGTCTGAACCACATTGGATTGGGGGTCTGGGGAGATGGCCGCAAGCCGGGGCTCAGCATCGAATGCTTGGATGTTTTTTCGGTGGTGGCAAGGTGCCAGGTGTTTTCTGCCCGGCGAGGTGCCCAATCATGTTCGGAATGTAGCCATGGAGGCGCCGCCAAGATGACTGACCCCAACATACCCCAAGCACCTGCAAGATTCGAGAAAGTACGGTGGTGCACATCAGACCTCCCCGCACTGAAGCCTCCCCGTCGACGGCAAGGACCAAGTGAACAAGCCTTTGGGCGTCTTCATCGCAGGCGAATTCGCGCGAGGTGAAGAGCGAGGGTTGATCGGTGGTACTCGTTGGTCCGGCCACTGTGCACAGGATCAGCGAGCCTTCTGTTTGGGCTGGGATTGATTGTGCACATCAACAACTGCCTCTAAAGGTTAAATGGTCAGCAGGGTTTCGGAACGTATTGAATGGGCGCTCATATGCGCTCATACTACTCGCCCGAAGGTATACTGTACATTCAAAAAAATCATGCCTTCAGACATGTAGGTCTTTTGCAAAGCCATGGTGGTTCGTCGAGTCGATGGGAAGAATTGCACGAAAAGTCCATATGCGTTGACCATTTGCCTGCTCACAATGGACCGGTGTCCTGGCTGGACTACCCTACTCAGGGATCTCCGGACAGCCCATTGGATGTCAACTCTCATGATCGGTTCAATTGACAGACCGTCCTGACCGACCAGTTTCGCCCTCGCGCGGGCGCGGGCGCGGTGAAACCGCAGGTGACTTGACCTCCTACGGGCGTCCGTGGCAGTTCAACTTGTATCGCCAGATTTGGGAGACCAGGAAGAAGGAATCCAAGGACGGACTTGGTCCCACAAAGCTTAAACTACAACGGCAGGGGTTGATCTGAGTCGATCTGACTGACTTGAGATTCGGAATGCGTGTGAAATGATGCAACAAATGCATCAGATCTAGCTGACTTGCAGAGTTGGTTCCTCATCATCAGCTTCCTCGGTCTTTTTTTAAAGCAGCCATTGAAACGGTTGGCCACCGATGGGCCTTGGGTTTGGCGCGTCGCCTAAAGCCATGATGAGCTGGCCGCAGCATAAGGGTTGTTGGGCACATGGACAGGAAGACCCCAATCGTTGTCAACAAAAATCATGTTGAAGTTTCAAGAGGAAACTGAGCAATGTCCCTTGAATCCCTCGTAGCTTTTGTCCCTTGAGTCCTTGCATTTGGAGAAGTAGCTCGGCGTCCCCTGCCGGGCCCGGAACACACAGACCCTGGACCTCCGGTGAATCCACTTACCACTTCGTCCACCATCCTTCTACGTCCTCCAACGCCGCGGTGCCCGGTTCGCTGCCGGAACCATCGCGTGATGGCCGCTCAACGCTTCCTGGACGAGGACAAGAACATCAAGCTCGGTGTTTGGCCGAGTTTGGGGAACCACGACTACTTCAACAACGTGCCACGCGGTTTCGGTTTCAGCCAGCGTGGGGTGCCAGTGGTCGGCACCGTGGGATGTTCCCGGCGGGGACGACTTGGCACAGAAAGAACGAGAGATGCACTTCAACTCCAACTGTGGCAAACTATGGGGGCAAGTGTGGTCTGTCGTTGACCTCCGTGGTGATTTGTCAAGATGACAATGGACGATGATGAAACAACCACATCATGCGATTTTCTGTAAACTACTGGTATCTCTGATCTCCCTCTCAAACTTGGAACTGGTTGGGGCCACCGTCCACATCTGGACGAAGGCCCCCCCGCCACCGGATTTTTAGCATAATGTTAATCGGAATGCAGCAGTGAGCCATCCCATCAAATATCATCACATCAGGTTTTGGCCGGTGACTAAGCTTTCAAGCCATGAGCGATATGGGCCTGGATCTACCACCACCCGGGGTCCAGTGCGCATTTGGGGGGAACTTTCGCCTCGTCGAGGGCATCAAACCAAGACCACAGCCTTTTCAGCCTTGACACCCCGAGGGGCTTATGCCGTGGCGCGACACCGACGGCATGGCCCAAAGCCCACGGCTCGCGGGTTTGGAAGGACTTGTACTGTATAATATATCTATCGACTCTATATATTTGCTATTTTGAAGCTAGATGGCCTGTCACTGCTCGCCGTAATATCTACTGTCCGTGTGAATGAACCCAGATGGCTTGCGAAGGAAACAGGACAAAACCAGCGGGTTGGCCCGGTTTCTGGTTTTTATACCCAAAGTGCACCTAATCATGGTAGGGGGCCTCTGAGAAGACAGGATTGGTTGGACTAACTGCTTTCCACTTGTTCACTGGCCTTTAGGCTGCTTGTTCTTTGTGGCTGTGAGGTCCAAGAATGCACCTGAGGACCATTCTGGGCCGCCGGCCGATGGGGCTTTGCAAAGGGTGTTCATGTGCTGCCTTGCATGCGGCATGGGTGGGGGGGGCATGGCCGGGTTTCGGATTCGCCCAGGCAGAGTTGCCATGACTTTGCGCTGAGAGAGGACCCCCCCGGGGCGCTCCTCGGGTGCGCCGCGTGGGCCGCGTCCTGGAACCATGACCTGGTCCTGGTCCGGGGCAGTGAGAGGGAACTATTGTAGCGAAATGTAGCGAATTGATGTTTTGGAGGTCCCTGAGATACATGAGAGACAGATGATCCATGATTCATTCTCCTTCAGTTGATATACAGTACATGTATCAGTCCTCATTTCATTCAATCCACTTGGGATGATGCTTTGCCCAAAAGGTCACCCTTTTTGGACTCGGGGGTTTGCCACCTCTTCTCAGGAGGAGACCTGGGGCCCTTACCTGTCACAGAGCTGTGCGCAACGCATGGTGGCCTACATCCGGGCCTCGGTGGCCGGCTGCGGCGGGAAAACGGTCAACCCCAACTTCGGAGGCACTCCGGCCGCGAGGGGCGGGGAACAAGCGCGTTCTTCGGTTCGAGTTGGCTTGGTGGGTTCGGAGTCCCGAGGGCGGGGGAGGTGGTTGGAGAGCGATGGCTTGGGGGACATGAAGTTGGAACTTTGGCTGGAGCTTCGTTTTCATTTTGGCTGGACCTTCCTGGGTACAGAGATGAAGCTAAGGCCGAGGGGTTGGACCTTGGATCCCCACATCCAATCTGTCATGTTTTGGGAGAGCCTCTCAAGTCAGGCCATGTGGACCACTATGAGAAGAAGTCGGCGGGCTACGCTGTGAAGTACGGCCGAATCCGCTTCGCGGTTCTGCACCTTGATCGTAGGGAGCGAACGAGCTGGGCTCAAGAGGAATGGAACAGAGGGACATCGAATCGGCCGCCGGCCGGTGAATTTCTAGACCATTCTTCATCAGGTTGGAGTTGAAGGTGTTTCTCCCTGGTGGGCTTGAGGCAGTAGAAACTGGTGACATGAGATTAGTAAGGCCCCTTCAGCTTTTGGCCATCATGATGGGGACCATACTACGAAGGTGATTCTGTGGCAGGACCTTGAGCCCAGTCAACTCCAGGAGGAATCCAATTGCTGTGTGATAGGTTTTTGAAGCACACTCCCAACCCTTATATGTGAAGGTGCGACTTTATCGACCACTCCCCCAACTTGCGACCCCCCGGACAGGGGGCAAAGGCGGCCAAGTTCACTTCAGGTGGAGGAGACTCAATGATTCCAAAATTCTTAATTTTTTCGAATCGATGTTGAATAAATTAAGAACATTACAATTATATTATATATATTTATTCTATAGTTTTTAGTATTTATATATATATATACCCCTGTCAAGACTCTTGGCTCAATTACCAAATGGTAGTCTATATGGGGGTTTGCGGAGAATTGTCTTTGGGGTTTGAGCCAGAAAGTTCTGTAGATCTATATAAGCTCTCAAAAGAGCTGTAGCCTCACACATTTGGGCCGGAAGGGCCTCCGCTCTCTATTTGTTTTTGCCAAGAGCTGCAGATGCTTTGCCTGCTGCCGATCTCCTTCTAGATTGGCACAGTTGTGCGAAAATCGAGGCACAATTATCCCACCTACCGTCGTGAAGAGCTGGTGGGTGTGGCCTCCACCATGGGCTTTCTGGAGGATCAGGCTCGACCAGCACGAAGTATATAGTGGCGGATCTGAACAAGTGCGGCTGGAGAGTTGAGTGATTTCCAAGGTAGACCTTTTTAGGCCTCTGACAACCTGAAAATTGAAACTATATGGAACCAGTCCAGGGAAACACGCTTGTAGATGATGCCAGCCCCTCAAAGACAGCGGTTGTTTCAGGTCAATTTTTCTGGATTGATTTTGCATTTCAGCTTGATGGTTGTGTCGCTTCTCCCTTCAGATTGCATTGGCCGAGCAGAACGATGAGTACTTGGTGCTCGTGATGCATGACGGAACCAACCATTTCGGCTACCAGCACTGGTTCAAGCAGGCCTTGGTCGGCCTGGGCGTGACTTCGCCTGAGGGGCGAGCTTCAATCTTCCTCAACATCCACTGTGTAACATCTAATGGCTAAGGACTATAGTCACCAGAAATAACCTTTCTTTTTCAAGGTCGAGGGCCGATGGTATGTGGACCTGATTTTTTTTCAACCCCTCATGTGAAGAGGTTGTACTATCCATGTCCGGCAGGGTTACTTCAAGAGTCTACATCTACGCGGCGACTCGTTCATGATACACAAGAGGGAATGTGGTAGGTACGGAACATGGAAGAGAGAGACTTCCTGTCATCTGTGGGGAAGAAACGTATGACCATAAACCATGCAAATTACAAAGCACACGCACACGCACACACACACATGTATATATATATATATAATATTTCTACAGCAAGCACCACCGGGCATCCGAGAATTTCATAGTTTTTCACTACAAGGCCACCAGAAGGTCACCTCTCCACGGGCCTCGCCCGCTGCCAAGGCATTTCACCGGAACGTTTCCGCCCAAAACCCGCCGGATTGTGCGACCGTAGGTGGAGCGTTACGACTATTACTCCAAAGTGATGACGGGCTCCCGCACCATCGCAGTCTTCCAGGGGCATTTGCATCCCCAGGGTGGCATGAAAGGATGCTGGGAAGAGATGAGCATGGGGGGAGCGGTCTCGAGCATGAAAGCAGGGGAGCTCCAGCACGCTGGGATCAATCCTTCAGAAAGATGTTGCATTGGAAATCGTGTCTGTTAGCTTGCGCGTGCCGTGTCTTAGACTTCTACAAATAATGACACGGCTCCTTTTTGGGACTCCAACTGCAGCGTTTGGTGCGATTACATTTGTTGCACAACCGATTCAATGGAGAGACCGATTCAATGGAGAGCCCCTCTATGGCCCGAAGCAGCTCAACCAAAATGACCAAGTGAAGTATAGACAAGCCCGTTGCAACAGAGTGGCTCACGTCGCCTGGGATGCACCCCCTCAAACATCCAAAACACCAATCACCCCTCAATCGAGTCCCACTTCCGAAATCTCGCCGCTTTTCCAGTTCGGTCCGTTCTTCGCCCCGGCGGCGGAACCGCGGTTGGCCCGCCCGCACTGAGAATACGTGCGGGACTCCCGGGAGCGCACGGACGGACAAACCTCCAACACGCCCATCTACAACGCGTGGGGCGAGCCCATTCCGCTGGTCCTCAACTGGGCGGCAGAGTATGCCGCTGGGCAGAAAGGGAAAGACAGATACGCCAAAATCAGAGGACACATCGAGGAGAAAAGGACTTGCAGATTCTTCACATTGACCTTTTCACTTTGCAGGTTGAGGGATGTTGAAGGCATTTATATAGATAAACTTCATAGATCCCAAGCAGGTCACTGGATTGGGGAAATAATAGGGGCGCGAGCAGAACCTGCTGGAAAGTCTGAAGAGCGGTCTCAGACTCGATGCGTTTGAGAGGGGGATCTTCTGCCAGACCGAAAAGATCCTAAAAGGGTCAAAGAGTGGGTGTCTTCGTGTCAAAGTCTAAGACCCACCCATGTGGAGGGCTACAGAAATCAACGACTTGCCGGATGCAGCCAGGTCTGGGGGGGGGGATCCGCTCCAGTCCCGTCCCGCTCCATCGGAGCGAAGCATTTGGTCAGGAGCGCTTTATTCTGACGCAGTTCAACATTGCGGATCCTTGCCAACATTTTTGTGGGAATGGGGTGGGTTCAGGCAGCGGCCAGATCGGATTTTTGTGGCAGAATGCCGGATCACTGGATTTCTTTCATCGGTTTGGGCGTGTTAGGCAAGGTCGCAACTCAGACGATTTGTGCCAGACGATTTGTGGATTTTGAAGTCTCAACTCTTCAGACGATGTCCTCTTCACCAATCTCTCTACTGAGATGGTGACTCTTGATGAATATAGGACTCCCTCCATTTGGATGGTCGAACCGCTTCCGGCCTGGAAAGTCTACATGAGGTGAACGCCACCTGTTTGCAGAGGAAACGGGTCGTACTATGGGGTCGAGTTCCCACCGGGTTTGGGGGCAGCGACGCGTCCCTGGCCTTTGAAAGGAGTGCTATTGGCGCTATGGCTCCGTCTGGGTGGGTCACGATGAGCGGCAGACGGAGTTCTTCGAGCCGAGCTACAGCAGGCACCAGCAGATCTTCGTGCTTCTCGGTGGGTGAGGCGGTGGGGTGGGCTGGAGCTTCGACCACACACACATATTCACACGTGTCTCGTACACATACATATATAGATATATAATGTACATATATATATATACGTAGATTATATACATTATATATATATACGTAGATTATATTGGTATGGTATGGCCTACATGTACGCACACACACAAATAAGTAAAACATTTATACTAAGCAACTATATATTTCAATAGTGTATGAATTAATCAATGAATCGAGCAAGCAAGCAAGCAAGCAAGCAAGCAAGCAAGGCAAAGCAAGGTAAAGCAAAGCAAGGCAAAGCAAGGCACAGCAAGGCAAAGCAAAACAAAGCAAAGCAATAGCAAGCAAGCAATTATTCATTCATTCAATCAGTCAATCAATCAATCTTTTCAATCAATCAAATATCGGGGTCAATCATCATATGCCAATCCTCAAGACTCAGAAGCGTGGCAGGCGTCCTCAGGTGACGCTTTGCACCGAACTCCGCTGCATGTTTGGATTTAGCCAACATCGGAGTCCACTGCACAGAGTGGGGGCACTTCACGCCTCCTTTCTATTTATATAGTTTTGGGCTTCAATTCATCCTGCATCATCCTGCTGGAGCATTCTAAGGAACTTCTTTCCACCCCGGTCGAGTTCCTACTGAATATCGGTCGCTTTCGACCAGTCCCCGGCCTCTTTTCTGAGGCTTCCCAACTGCACGGTGGATCCCAACTACACCTGGTCTCCGCCCACGACCACGGTCTTTGAGGGTCAGGGGGAAATCTCCAGTGCGCGCTGGTCGTTCAACAGCCTAGCGGCCTTAGCGTCGCTGGTGGTGGTTTGGGCCTTCTTTGGTGTCTAAGGCGCGGCAAGATCGAGTAACCACCGGAGTTGGATGAACGACAGCGCGCTGTTGGTGGGTTAGGGTTGGTCATTCGGGGGTTCATTCGAGCGGGCCAGAGAGCCCATTGAACGTTGGGACTTTGGGAGCTTCAATAACATCCACGCCTCAGAGAAGGGCCATTCTACTGAGCTTTACGATTGACTGAGTCTTCGATGACCCGATCTGTTCCAGATTCCAGGGACCCAGAACCGTGAAGGAGAGAAGGCAGAACCCGGCACCTTCCACTCGGCCGATTCGCCAGTTTCGGTGCTCCAAATTGGAAATCCGGCACCGGCCATCGCAGCAGAACCAGGCCTTCTCCGAGCGTCGCTTCACGGCGGAGACGCCGGACGTGCGCGCGCGCGCGCGCCGGACGTGAGCGTAGATCGACGTCGGGAGCTGCTGTCGGGCGGCTTTCGGTGGATCGCCCCCTGAAGGGGGGCGATTTCGACGTTGAGCGGTGGATTCCGCCTATCCGAACGTCACCTTCTAAGATGTTGGACGGCTCTTGGATATTGAGTTCTATAGGGTTCACGAGTGTTTGGTGTAGTTTGATTTCTGGACTTTCTTCGGAGAAGAGGCATGGAACCGCTGCTTTGCTCTTCTTATCCACGTGCCTGCGCCGCTGGGGCACTTGGCTCTGGCATCGTAGGCGAAACACAAATCGTTCGCGGTTTGTTAACACAAAATCCGCGAGGGAAGGGCGCGACAACCCTGGGTTTTGCCCCAAGAGCTTGAGGACATGCACAGAAGTCACAGAAGTATGTACTGCAGAACTTTTGGAATCACCTTTATTCTGGAGGCTTGTGTACATATTAATATGACTAATTTTCAACCAATGACCATGCGTAGCCGATTCTAGAACAGATCCCCTCAAGCCGAAGCACACTCTTGATGCAAGACATCCTGCACCACCCAACATTTGGATCATACATGATAACCCCTCTTCACGAGCTTTGTGAATCTCCCTGGTGTAGTGCTGCATTCGTCCTTCAACAGTATTGTTGCCTATAAGCAGTGCGAACACTTGGCTAGGTTCTCAGAATTAGTTCAAGGCACCACTCACAAAGAACCCGTAGTTTTGGGGGTGAAAACCGTGATTTAACCATTCCATTGATAGGTCCGAGGCCTTTGGCTGGGGCTTTGAAACGGGTTCCATCGCTTTCCCTTCGTTGTCTGCATGGCCCTTCTTGCCTGAACAGCGCATGGCCCCATTCGCTGGCCCGAGTGAGAGTGCTTCGTCGCAGATGGCTGGAAAACACCGGGGGTGCACGCCGTCGGGAGTCGGTCAGGACACAGATGGAAGAAACTACAAGACACCTTAGAATTTGAAGTTTGGAACCTAGCGATGGCCCCCAAGAGCGATGAGACACTTTAAAGTTTAAAGTTTGGTGTCTGGTGCAATTGTGTAAGCTGTAAGGCGCCTTTTTGGCTGAACATGTGCAAAGCCAAAGTGGGAATGGCCTCATCGTCCCAAAATGAAGGGGCTCCGTGGAAAGCAGAGGTTCCTGGGCAGGTCAATCGAGTTCAACCCGGCTAGGCCGGCGCTGTGCTGGTGCAGCTTTGCCAGGCTGGTCTTGGGCGAGAGTCATTGAAGATACACAGGATATCCCAGGATCTTGAGTGAACCAAATCAAGTTTTGGCGCATTTTTTGTGATGGCTGTTTATGTGCGGGGTTGGTTAAACAACTACCTAATTGATCCGAACATATCTGGATTTCACCTGCGCATTTGTCGCGGCAGGAGTCGAAGCCGGATTCGATGCCAAATACCCCTGGACATGATCCTCGTCGTCGCGGTTTGATAAAACAGTGTATTTAGGGGTGCGGCAGACGGTCTTGTTGCTTCAGCCAGGAAGGAACTTGTAGGTGAACTGGACCTTCGATCGGAACCCCCCCCCAAAAAAAAAAGAATGCATCGAAGCAGCGTCTGAGCACTGTCGAAGCATCCCAAAACACTGGGCAGTTTGCGGAACATGGTCGAAATCAGGTGAATTCTCAGGGTGCATGGGATCCTCGAAGCTGGGGGAGTGCTGCCGACTGGACCGTCGAAGCTGGATCAGCTGGACTACCCAAACTCACTAGGTCCGACTGGATCTTCAAACAGGACACCTGTCTTCCTCCTCCCCATGCGCAGCAGATCCTTCCAGCGATTTCTGGCTGTCGAGGCTGGCCCAAGGCGCCGCACATGGCAAGGTTGGGAGGGGTCGCGGCCTCTCTGCGTGGTCGGAGGGTCGTGGAGGGTAGGTAGGCAGACAAGTTCGGCAGCTGAGGGATTGAAGAAGTTGATGTAGTTGAGGATTTAGGATTTGAGGATTTGAGATGATTTAAGGACTTGAAGGATCTTGAAGGGAGGTCCAGGTCATTACTTCAGAATTCAGTCCCCACCTGCTTGGCTAGCGAAAAGCTGGGTACGCTTCCAGTCAACTGCTACTTCTCCCCTTCTTGATCCAAGACAGATCCACATTCTTCCGTACAGTGGATGCTGGCCTTTCAAGGCCTGGTGCTTCCTTTGGAGGACTTCGTGTGCGGGGCCATGAGGGCTTGTCGGGTTCGACGGGTCCAGCCGGGCGCCAATTCAGTCCCCTGGGGGGGGGGAGTGCTTGGAATTGGATTGGTTATGATGGTGGTGTTGTGATCGATCGGCTTTTTTCTGGGGGCTTGGTTATGTATGGTTATGGGCAATGTTGTATGATCATATATGTTGTAGGTTTACACTCCCCGAAATCATCATGGTTAAATGGTGACGTGGATGGCATGGCCCCGAGTCCAGACCATGAAATCCTCATACTGAACTCCGGTGTCTTTTTTCCCATGGAGTGTGCCCACATCACTACGTACCCCCTTGCGTGCCTGACTGCCCCCGGGGCTTAAGGTAGTAGTGATGTACCCATTTCTTTTCGTCTCCGCCCGGCGCGGCGCACCGAAACCAGCACCGAACCCGCACCGGCGCCTGCCGTCCTGCTTCCAGGCGCCGCTTCGAGGCGCCGACGCACGCCCAGCTGGAGCAGCCCCTCGCATCCGCATGAGACGACTCGGGTGTCGTGCGACTCCTTCGGGCCACAGCTCGGAGGGACCCCAGGGCGGCTCGGAGGGACCCCGGGGTACGTGGACAAGACCATGGAGCATTTGTTTGGATGAGTCTGGCTTCTTGACGTACCAAGGGGGTGTATTTCATGGGTTTTCTGCCATGCGAAGTGTGAAGGTTGGAGTGTCACCTTCACTGGTGCCGGTCGTGCCGGTCGTGGGTGTATTTCGTCCTTCGGGGGTCATGAATGATAAGAATGATCATGTAATATACGTCGCATGCTTCTAATATTTGATATCAGAGGATACCTTTGATTTTGATCTATGTGTAAGCTCTGGTGTATTTGGGGGACCTGGGATTGGTTTCCACTCGGTGTTGACTCGGCCGAGATGCTTTTGGGATTCCGTCGAAGACGGGTGTGGGGCGGTCGAAGCGGATTCTGAGGGGTTGGCCGCGAGCCTTCAGGGGGGCTATGTAGCATATGGATTATACAGTATATAGGTTTGATTTTCAGATATGCAAAATGTACGGCATGATGTGGTACGTTTATGTGGCAATATGTAGCCATGGAAAAAACGGATGTTCTGTCGGAGAGATCGGAGAGATCCTCGAAAGCGGCACAGCCGTTGGAATCGGTTGGATTCCGGTTGGATCCCCGCAGTGTCCCAGTCCCGTGTGGTTCGATCCTCGTGACTGCGACGAACTCCTCCGCACCTCGTCCAGGCACTTTCGAGCTGCCTTTCGAGCTGCTCCCCGAGGCTGGAAGGTTGCCACATCATCGCCTGGAATCGCTGACGAAGACAGTGGGTGTGTATTGAAGTGGGGAGGCTCCCCAAAGACCACGAAGAAGAGGCAAAATGGACTATAGTGACTATATAATAATTATTGTAATATGGTGGCTAATTGGCTACCACCTACGCAGGTTGGGGGGGTCAGCAACAGCAACCGCAAGAAATCATGCTTGGAATCCCGTACTGTATCCGTGATCACACCGGTGATCCACTTCATTTCAATGCGAATGTTCCGGCTCGGCCAACCTGGGCAGGAGAGCCAGTGACTACGATCTCGGATTGGAGCCGGTGAGGAAAAGTGACCCGCCGCTCCGTCGTCGGGGAAGTCCTGAGACGGTGGACGGAAAGTGAGCGAAGAGCGAAGCGTTTGGACAGTGCTAAGCGCGGTGCTTCCGGTGCAAACTCCGCTGGGACACGAAGACAGTGTAAACCACCGATTGGGTATGAGTGGAGCCCGACGAAGCCGGAGCTTCGGAGGGATTTCAGTGATTTCAGGTTCGGACGGGGCGAGTGGGGCACCCCGACAGGTCCAGTCTGATCCAGGAAAACTCTGCCCTTTGAGCTCATTCCGTAGTCGCGTTTCTTTCTTTCATGATGAACTCCAGGAAAATTGAGGTCAAACTGACCTGCAGGGGCATGTGAAGGATGTTTTGTGTTGTGTTTTCTGAGTCTGCTGGAGCTCAGATCGCCACCTCACGGGTGAGAAGTGAGAAGTGGGGACTCTCCGTAGTTTCAGTGGCGGGTACCAGGGCGGGGTGGTGAATGGACATCCCTTATAAGGTGCATTTTGTTTTGACATCCCTTAGGCGGCCCTGGCATCGAATCATTCGCTTTTGTATGTTTTTGTTATGTTTAATCCGAAGCCGGAGAAATTCTCTACAATCCTTGGGGACCATATGCCACCAGCTGGAAGGAAGGGAGCAACTGAGCAACTGTGTGTGCAGATCAGATCGGCCACCACACAGAATCGAAGGGCTCCAGCGATCGCAGTTTCTGCGCAGAAACCCATTGGCATCGCTCCGCCTCCATGCCGCCAGTTCTGTGACTTCCAGCGGTCTTTCTGGCTCCACAGATGTGAAGGAATCCAGGAAGGTTCTAAGGTGTGTATAATTGTAAGTACATATGATTCTTCCACTACAAAAACTAGACGACAGGGTGGCC